AGGGCCCTGGACCATCGCGCCGCCATTTGCCCCCGCTGCTTCCGTCACGGAGCGCCGCCCCGCCCCCCGGCCCGGACGCCGCCAATCCGCGCGCGCCTTACTCAGCCCGCCCGCCGCGCCTGCGCAGCGCCTCGCGGCGGGGCGCGGCCCAGCCCCAACGCGCATGTCCGCCCCGAGGGCTGCTAGGAAATGTAGGCGGAGGGCGAGCGGCTGTGCTGACTCAGCTCCCGGGGAGGCTGGGAAGGCTGAGCTGGACGGGGGGGTTTTTTCTTTCCCCCTCCCACGCTTGGTTTCACAGTTCTGATTGGTGGGGGGGGTCTCGTTTTTGGAAGTAGTTCCTGGTGGGGCCCCCTGCCACCAGGATCTCCTCGTGGTGTCCCATCCAACCCATAACTAATCAAGGAGAGAAGCAACCTAGAACTAAGGAGAAACTTCCTGACAGTTAGAACAATTAACCAGTGGAACAACCTGCCTCCAGAAGCTGTGAATGCTCCAACACTGGAAGTTTTTAAGAAGAGACTGGACAGCCATTTGTCCGAAATGGTGTAGGGTTTCCTGCCTGAGCAGAGGGTTGGACTAGATGACCTCCAAGGTCCCTTCCAACTTTATTATTATTATTAGTGGTGAAAGTCCAGCCCCTCTTTCAGGCGTTTGTCATCACCTCCAAAAAGTCTACCAGGATGGCCTTGTAATTGCTAGTGCTAGCAATTCGTCAGATTTTTGTGGCCGCTCGTGTCGTTTTAAACTATAATCAGTTTAAAAAGATGAATAGCTTAGCACACAATTCTTCTTTAAAAAGATAAGAGTAATGAGGCGTCTGGAGTGCCACGAAGCTCCTAGGATGAATTTGCGCATCAGTTGTTGGTTGCCGACATGCAAATCCTTGTTGGCAAATAAATTCAATAAAACAAATTGGTTTGATCGAGGCTGGCATCGGAAAACACAGTGCTGCCTTAATTGATTATATTGTGGGAGGTCAGCTCCCCAGAGAAGGAAATATTAAAAGGGCAGAAAAATATATTTCCTGAAAAGTATTTTAAAAAGCAAAAACCAACTTTGCCTCCCCCTTCCTCTCTGTCCCAAGCAGAAGCCAGCTCTATACAAATGCAAATGTAAACCATCAGAAAGGCCCCAGCTAGGAGATCAAGAAGACACTTAAAATCTGCATACCCCACTCAAACTCTAGGAGTCATTAGCCCCATCACCAGGGAAGCAGGATATGATAATAGGATTAAACCACAGATATCAAGGCCTAGAAAAACACTCAGAAATAGCCTCAAAGTTCATGCCACAGGAACAGGAAACTATTCCAAACAAAAGGCTAGAGGGGGTATAGAAACCTACTACCCATGTGCTCAGCCCTTCTTCCCTCTGCTCTTTCCTGCAAGAACCGTCTTTCTGCCTCTTCAATAAACTGTAACCTTCTTCCCAAAGCAGTCGCCATGTTGCTTATTTATTCCCGGCTTGGATGAATCAGGATGAAGACTTTAATCCAACAATATATCTCAGAAAAGAAAAGAGGGAAGGAGAGGGCAGAACAGAGCAGAGGAGACCACTGTTTTTTTTTTTACACAGAACCAAACCACTTGCATGTATTCCAAAGACAGACTTAGCAAGTTTGGGGTATTTTTCAGCTCCTTCATTTGCTTTGATGGTAATATTGAAGGAGAGGTGGTTAATCTATGAAAAACAAAAATTACGTATCTGGATGTATCTTCTAACTAACATCTAAGGCAGTGGTTCTCAACCTGTGGGTCGGGACCCCATTTGGGGTCGATCGACCATTTCATGGGGGTCGCCAAGCAAGGCTGTCCGCCATTTTTTTTGTCCGCCATTTTTTTTGTCCGCCATTTTATCCCCCTTTTCCAGCGGGTGCCTTACCTCCCTTGGGCTGGGCCAGCTGGTGGTCGGCCTGCTCCGTCTCTGCCGCTTGCCAGCTACGCCTCGGCCAGAACCACGCATGTGCGGCGCTCCCGGGCAGGGAAAGTCCTCAACTTACGGGCAGGGAAAGTCCTCGACTTACGACCTGTTAGGTAGTCCTCGACTTACGACCGGTTTAGTCCTCGACTTACGACCGGTTGAGTCGACTTACGACCGGTTGAGTCCTCGACTTACGACCGGTTGGGGTCGCGGCATTAAAAAGGTTGAGAACCACTGATCTAAGGCATAAGCTTTTATAAGCTCACAAAAAACTTAATGCCTTTTAATAAAATGTGTTAAGTTGTGGGGAAAAAAACTTTTTTAAAAAAAAGATAAAAGCCCCTTGCTTGCTCCAGGCTTACTTCCACCTCCAGATTGTTGCCTCGAGAGATGGGTACAGATCCAGATGGTATCTGGAGCTCTCGAAGGACCGTGGTTTCTAGTTCCTTTAGTGTTAGGTTGACCACCTTCAATCTTGACCAATGTCTCCCAGTGATTAATCAAACTTTTCCGGGAAGGATTTGGTGCATGTGGTCCCGTAACTCCAACACCCCTGAAGGACGGTGACTTCAGTTCATTTTTTTGACTTGACGTTTTTTGAAATGTTCCGACAGAGCAATCAATCAATGGAACAGCTTGCCTTAGGAAGTTGTGGGTGCTTCATCACTGGAGGCTTTCAAGAAGAGACTGGGCAGCCATTTGTCAGGGATGGTGTAGGCGGGTCTCCTGCTTGAGCAGGGGGTTG